ATAAGTTTACACAATTCCCTGTGGTAGTATCTTGGACTTTCGAGTTTTATTACTTTGCAACAACCTACACGTTGATTTTATATTCTTTAAGTTGTAGCAAGTTTTTGACGTTGTTGCCGAGGGATTTGTTGGAAGACGAGTGCACCGCCACATCTATTGAGGTTTGTTTGATTTGCGATTCTTTAGAGATTCAGTAATCTCATTGCACTCATTTATTTTTCATGTTATTTAATTTTATATCATTTAATTTATTTTTTTCTATTGCTACCCCTTCTATTTTATTTCTTTTATGAGCACTTGGCTTAGTGAGCCAAGTGGACATTTAATTTGGAAGGAATTAGATTTATTGTTTGGTGATTTATTTGATAATCCTGTACAATCTCTCGCACACACAACCATGGCTGATGATGAGAGAATATTGGAATTTAATCCAAACTCTCTAATTATTATGAATGAGAGTTTGTTGGGCAATCAATATGAGAATCCTAAATGGAATAGGAAACATAGTAGAAGAGTTCTAATATACCATGAATAAGTATGTTAGACATGTGATAGGAAATATAAAGATCATGTTATATCTAAATAGATTTGAGTTACAGTATTTTATCTCTATAAATAGGGGTGTATATTATGTAATCAGTTATCAGATGACCAAATTTTAGTGAATAATAGAACGATGTAGATTCTTGGTTCGTGAATGTAGGTATGGTGTGTTAAGTAGGGATCTATATCGAACACATTATATTTTTTTGTCATATTTTTATTGTTATTCTATCTTTGAATTCCTATCTTCCAACAAGTATTATCGGAACCAAATTAACTCTCCTGAGGCAACAAGTCAAAACCAGATTGACAATTCAAGTGCAACAATCAAAGTAAGTTATTGGTAATTCAATGATCAAGTTGGTGTTTATGTTGAAAAAGACTCCCTTACCATGTGTGTACGACATGGTGTGAAGATTGATTTCATCCTGTTCACAGTAAGGATTTAATTTTAAAAAATTTATTAATGCATATTTTTGTTTAGATCCATAAGAAATTTAAAATTTGCATGAAACCAAACAGAAGATAAGTTACTTCCTGATTCTTTGGATTTCAAAAATTACCACAGGTGTTTTGTTAAAGATGTTTCTTCAGGTTTTCTAGATTCTTAGAGTTGAAGTCACGTTATTTCAATAGTTTGGGAGCTATTAGGCTGTTATACACCCAATAGTGATGATTTGATGTCTCGTGGGTTACGACTCACTAGAATTTTACCTTTGAATGGTGAAGTATTGACCATTGAAACCTCTCAAACATAATTAAGACGCAGACATTGATGCACAGATGATGCATCTTAGAGTTGAAGTCACGATATTTCAATAGTTTGGGAGCTATTAGGCTGATATAAACCCAATAATGATGATTTGGTGTCTCGTGGGTTACAACTCACTAGAATTTTACCTTTCAATGGTGAAGTATTGACCATTGAAACCTCCCAAACATAATTAAGACGGAGATAAGGATGCACAAATGATGCATTTTAGAGTTGAAGTCACGGTATTTCAATAGTTTGGGAGCTATTAGGCTGATATAAACCCAATAGTGATGATTTGGTGTCTCGTGGGTTACGGCTCACTAGAATTTTACCTTTGAATGGTGAAGTATTGACCATTGAAACCTCCCAAGCATAATGAAGACGCAGACAGAGATGTACAGATGATGCAGGCCAAGACATAGGTTTTTGAACAACAAAGAGGATTGTGACAACACAGAAGAACAGTTTTGCACGTGGTGCTTGAAAAAGTTGGTGGATCAAAATCAATGGTGCTAACTCTGATGTTGGATATGACCAAAGTTGAAGAGTTTGGTTCAAGGGAGGCTGTTGGAATTTGACCCAAACTCTCTAATTATCATGAATGAGAGTTTGTAGGGCAATCAATGTGAGAATCCTAAATGAAATATGAAACATATTAGAAGAGTTTTAATATACCATGAATAAGTATGTTAGTCATGTGATAGGAAACATAAATATCAAGTTATATCTAAATAAGTTTGCGTTATAATATTTTAACTCTACAAATAGGGGTGTGTATTATGTAATAAGTTATCAGATGACCAGATTTCAGTGAATAATACATCGTTATAGTTTCTTGGTCAAATCTTTGAATTTCTATCTTTCAACAAGTATTATTTGTGTTAATTATCCGTTGTGCAAAACCAATAAGTGGTATCAAATCTATGTTCCAACATAGAAGTAATCACAATGGCAATGAAGTCAATAATAAACAAGTTAACCATGGGTACGACTTTGCGTGAGTATCTGCAACCTGCATGACACACTACACCATCAAGTATCATTTTTCCTCTACATGCCACTAATTTTATATTTTAAAACAGGGATGATCGAATTACTCCCTAAACTCTATAACTTACAATTTGAGAATCCTCATCTCCACATTAGAGATTTTGATGAACTATGTGTCACCTTCCATAATCAAACTGTCTTAGTCATACTCAGGTTGAAGCTGTTTTTCTTCTCATTGAAAGAAAAAACTAAGATTTGGCTAAACTTTTTGAGACCTAGATCCATAAGCACTTGGCAGGATATATAAAAAGAATTTATAAGAAGTTGTTCCCACATATTTAAAGAATTTATAAGAAACTCTTTAAAAAGACAAATTATGAATTTTCCACAAAAAGAGAATGGGACTTTCTATCAATATTGGGAACATTTTAAAGACTTTCTTGTATTCTACCCACATCATGGCTAGGAAAATAATATCAAAAATAGATCCAGAAGGTCAAGAAACCTTGGGATAGGTTACATGGCCGTATTAGAAGTTAGGAAATGTTTAGGAGCTTCGACACATGTTTGAGAGAATTTTGGGTAGAAAGAAATTAGACACCCTCTTAGTATTTTAGCGATGCCTTATTAACCTAGTGTCAGATTGATCTGATTTGACTTCAAGGGCTACAAAATTATATTTCATGAAATTTTAGTGAATCGACTTCTAATTAGGTTAAAACTACCTTGGAAGTTCATATAGAAAACAGAGCCCGTTCGAATGCTACTGAATCTGTTCGAATGCCTTGCCCGACGAATTCTTTAGTAGAAAATAGGAAATACTAGGAGCGAATCCCGTTCGAACACCAAACACTCCGTTCGAATGCCAAGCTTCTCGTTCGAACGCACTATCGCGATTTTATGGATCAGATCTATGCCGCTTGGACTATTTTTCGACCCTATAAATACTTAGGGATGCCTTTTGGGGCTGCTTTGCCTATATTTCAACCCTAGGAGGCTAAGTAGTGTTGGGAGAACAAAAAACGAGCGAGTCCTTGACAGAGTAACTCCTAGAAATTACATTAAAATGTGTTAGGATCATCTATTTGTAAATTAAGGTAGGAGTTCTTTCTTAGATTCATACATTGAGGCGAGGGCTATTATTTATTATGATTTTTAATCTTGATCTTTAAATATATGTTAGATAAACAACTATTGAAAATTCTTTTCAATTACATGAATCGTTTCTTGAAAATAAATAATTTTCATCTAGGATTTATTTGTTCTTGATTCTAAAACCCTATTTTTTGGTTATGATCAATGTAAAAATGTTTTTTGAAGATCGCTTGTATATTTTCTTGAAGTATTCTCTTTAGAATATTGTTAAACTATGATTCTTGATTATTGTTGGGTTTTATGAAAAGATTATAGAAATTTTCTCTTGTATGGATGGGTGTAATGAATGTGAATTGCACTCGAATCTATATCACAAAATGTTTAGATGTTGTTTCTTACCTCGAGGGGTTTGAAGGTTTTTTTATCATACGTAGTAGAATTCCTTGGTTCCTTGCAAGGTTCAAGGATTTGAGTTATTCATTCACAGTGATCGAGACCACGAGTTAGTATACTAGTCATGGGAAGTATTTGTTACTATCGATGTGTTGGTATACATCATTTCTAAAGTTTTATGGCCCTGCGGGGATTGATTAAATGGTTTGTGGTGTGATGTGGACTAGATATGTGCGGTGTATAGTTTCATGCTAATCTAATCACGTACGTGAGAAATAATTATGTTGATCATCTATTGTTTTTAGAATTTTTTTTATTCTTATGAATTGAATTGTTTTGTATCGTAATTGGAGATCTCATAAATCATCATTATTTTACTTCAAAAGATATATGTTTATTTTACAAGTCGAGACTTGTTTTCTGATTTTGAAACCTTGTGTGGGTTTGAGAGGGTTTTCCTACTGGACTTTTCGCTCATCCTTCGGTATGAACATGTTTCAGATTTTGGTGTCTGAAGTTAACATAACCATAAGTGAGCAGGTTGATTGGGATGTTGAAGGGGATCATTAAGTGGATCCGTAGATAGATGCCTAGAGATGTTTCTTTAGTTTAATTTGTAAATTATGTATGATTGGGTGGACGTTTTGGAATAATTCTTTTATTAACTAGTTGAAAGATTATTATTTTGGTTTTTGGATGTAAACCTAAGAATTTGTTTATGTTTCATTTGGGGATTTATTTAGTTTGTTATTGGATGTTGAATGGTTTTATTTATTTAATAGTACTTTAGTATACCCTCATAGTTTGAATGATTTATACTTAGTTAATGCTTCAGCATGGGAAACTGGGGTGTTACATGAACCTTCACAAGGGAAAACTTCTTAACCTCAGACACCAATAATATGCATAGAAATATAGGTAATTATCTTCAATCATATACATATTTCAACGGAGAGAAGAAGAAATCATTCAACATAAATGCATGAAGCATGTACATCGCGTACATGAAGACTTACTGAGCATACGCGTTCTTTGTGCAGTGTTCTTCCGGAATGTACGTGTAAAATGCATAGACGTCCATTTGTTTGTTGATAATGTGGACATGCATACTCAATAGAAAAGTTATTTTGAACAATTACTCCAAGTATCTTAGACGGATGGAGGTAATTCATTTTTGGATTTTTATATTTAAATGAAGTCGGACTTATAATATATTCTTTTTCAGTTAAAAAAAAGGGATAGGATTTAGTTCCTTGAACCACAACAATTCACGTTGCATCTGTAGAGCAGCACCAACTGCCATGGCTCTGAGATTGAGTTTCACCCGACTATCCAAATATCCAGCAAAATGTAGACCACAGTTATTTCCTTTGTCTTTTGCAGATAAAAGGATGTGACCAAATTCACCATATTGGTGCATGAGATTGATTATATTTTCTTGACGATTCCCAATTGCAAGATGGAAAATTGTTGGTTGTGGCTCATTTCCAATAGAGACCACATTGGGAGTTGAACTTAAGATCTCTTCAGTAACTTCATAATTTCCAGTAGCCACCGCAATTTTCAAAGGAGTTGGAAGGATTGATGAAGCTATTGAATAATCCAATTTTCCAATTTCCTCACAAATGAGTTTCACAAGCTAAATTGCTTGAAGATGTATTAGTTTTTTCTCTTGGATGTGCTTCATCTGCGGCACTGCAATCAAATGCACTTAAGTATGCAAAAACAACAATTCATGAATTGGCCATCAACCTATTACGTACCTAATGTTTTTGCGACTTTCCAAAATATCGAATGCAATTTTTGCCTCACTATACACAAACAAAAATTGGAGAGGGGTAGCAACAAAAATAAATTAATTCGTAAGCATGAAATAAACTATGACAAACCTGAAATGAAGCCCTCAGTAGGATTGTCTATATCCTATCCACTGTGTTGGTTTGGAAGGTTTTCCAATTTTTCCGGAGCACCTAGATGATAGAAGAATATGTTGATGGAAGCATGCATGCTTTTAGAGAGCAACATTTTGAATGAACTGGAATTTGTTAACTCCAAGGTTACCAAAAAGGGTTGGTGTGATATGCTTACAAAACCACAATCGATTAAAAAAGTACAAATTATCTATAACCCTATGAATGTCATCATCAAATCCTACATGAATTCTCTATTGCCCTAGTTAATTGAAAAAACAGAAAAGAAATTAAATAGAGTTAAGCTCATGCATGTGTTGCTTCTATTCCATCCATGATTATTTAGTAATTTTTTTTCTCTGATGATAGGAAAGAAACAACTATTACCAGACAAATACTTTAACTTTATATACGTTGTGGCTAACTGTAAAACCCAAGAGCGCAGAGCCTAAATCAGGCAAGCAATAGCCATTCTAAGACCCGTCTTCTTTTATAATCTTATCTACTTATTTGTTGGCAAACCTCCACAGTTAAAGGAAGGAAATACACTTTCACTTTTTAGCCTTCCCACTCTTACATTCCTTTTTTACTATTAGCCCCTTTCATTGAATTAAGAATGATAAGGCCTTTGCTAGTAACCCTCGACACCCCTTCGATCATATGTTTACATTTTGTAGATTATGGGCGGGCCATCAACCATTACAAGTCATGGAAGCAAATCAGTTTTTCGATATCAAGAAGTGGTACGTATTGGATAGAATTACACATGATGAAAATAAAAGATCATTCAGATTGACCCTCCTTATATTACACCAAATCATAGTTGTAATATTCTAGATGTTGAAAAAAATAATTAACATGATGTAGGAGTTATATTTTATGCATTTAGTTTTGTTTTAGTGGTTTATCAATTTGCTAGTAGTGGGGGACCAAAGTAATTGTGGTATTTTAATTCTCCTAGTAATTGAGGGTTCGAGTTTTGATTATTTTTATTATTGTATTATATAGTGGTATTTTACTATATGTCATTGAGCCTATATATATCCTATGTAATATAACAATTGGGTTTAGTGAATTGAAAGAGTTCTTCATTTCCTCAATATTAGTCTCTTCTATTATATTTGTGTGAGTGTGTGATAATCTTCTTGATTCCAAGAAAGTGGTATCAAAGGTAGGCTTGAGTGTCAAGAGAGAGAGAGAGAGAGAGAGAGAGAAAATGAAATGCTTCCATTTTAAATGCCTCGATTCTACTAAGATAACTATGAGAATTGGTGTGTTTGCATGAAGGCAATTATTGGATTTCAAGACTTGGGAGAGATTGTAACAAATAGTTACACGGCACACAGAAGATGAAGCTTTTTTAAGTCAAACCCAAAAACGAAGCCTTGCAAGCTACAAAGAAAAATGATCAAAAAGCTCTTTCATTCATCCATCAATGCTTGGATGTTGCCATGTTGCAAAAGGTTGCTAGTGCAACAACATCCGAGGAAACATGGGATGTTCTTCAAATGAGGTGAGTTTGGGGCTTTATGCATGAAGGAATCCGAAATAGTTTTGGATTATTGCACAATAGTCTTGGCCATTGTAAATCATTTGAGAACATATGGTGATTATCACTACAATAATACCCCGTGATAGAAAAAATCCTTCGTTCATTGGACCCCAAGTTTGACTATATTGTCATACTCATTGAAAAGTCTAAATCGTTAGACAAAGATTGCCGTGCTCATGAGATCGTTGTTAGGCCATTAAGAACGACTAAGCAAGTAACAAGAGTCATTGGAGAAAGTGCTATAACCAAGCTTTCTTTCAAAGAAAAAGAAAGAAGGCAAGAGGGAAGTCAAAGAGGTAGAGGGCTTGGACGTGGAGATGGAAGTGGTGGATGTGGCCAAGATAGAGGAGAAAGCTTTGGCCAAAATTCGTCCAACAAAGAAAAAAGATGTCAAGACTCACACCGTGGAAGAGGCAACAATTCAAAGTCATATGGAGGGAAGTATGAAAATATCATATTCAATGTTATAATTGTCACTGACATGACCATTTTGATTTCGAGTGTAGAAATGATATTATTAAAGAGCTCACACTTTGTTGAAGACAAAGATGAAGAGGTGGAGCCGACCTTGTTGTTGGCATACAAGAAAGACAAAAAGGGAGACAAAACATGTGGTGTCTTGATTTCGGTGCTAGCAATTAGATGTGTGGAAGCAAAGATATATTTGTAGAGCTTGATGAATCGGTAAGTGGACAAGTCACTTTTAAAGATTCTTTGAAAATTTCAGTAATGGGAAGAGCTAATATTTTGATTTATTTGAAGGATGAAAGACACCAAATTATTTCTAATATTTTTTATGTGTCAAACATGAAAAATAATATTTTGAACTTGGGGAAAACTCTTAGAGAAATGTTATGATATTTACATGAAAAATCATAATTTTTCAATAAGAGATGGAATTGGAAATTTGATTGCTAAAGTGCCAATGATAAGAAATATAATGTATTTCTTGTATATTCAAAATGATGTGACTAAATGCTTGAAGGTTTGTGTTAAATATTCTTCTTGGTTATGACACTGGAGATTTGACAATTGAATTTTGGAGGACTGACTTTGTTGTCTAAAAAGAACATGGTGAAATGATTGCCTTCTATCAATCGCTCGGATCAACTTTGTGAGGTATTTAGTTGGAAAATAAGCTAGAAAAAGCTTTTCCAAATAAGCCATTTTAAGAGCAACCGAACCATTGCAACTTGTTCACTTAGATGTTTGCAAGCCTATAGACCCACAATCGTTTGGTAAAAACTGGTATTTTCTTCTCTTTATTGACGATTTTAACTAGAAAACATGAATTTATGTTCTAAGATTACCACAATAAAATGATATTGTAGAAAGTAAAGATTGAACCATTATTGACATGGTTCAGAGTTTTTGAAGAGTAAGAAAATGCCCAATGAATTTTGGACATAAGTTATTGATTGTGTCATCTATTTGTTAAACCGGTGTCCCACCAAAAAAGGCATAGGGAGGAATCAAGTTAATTGTCTCTTATTTGCGGGTCTTTGAAAGTGATTGGAATGTACATGTGCCAAATGAGAAACAGATCAAACTTGATGACAAGAGTGAAAAACTTATCTTCATTGGCTACAAGCTTTATAACCAAAGCAACGATACGATCATCATTGGTAAAGATGTTGAGTTTGATGAAGACGGCGAATGGGGTTGGAACACTCCACAAGAAGATTACAGTTTTCTCCAATTCTGTGAAGAAGAGGAGGAGGCTAATGAGATCATGGAGTATTTCACTCATCATCCGAAACAAGTTCAAGTGAAACACCACCTCGCATGAGGTGTCTTCAAGACATCTGTGAAGAAACCGAAGAGGTAACTCAAACATTTAGCGATCTAACACTCTTTTGCCTATTTTTAGATTATGATCTCATAGGTAGTAAAAAAGCAACACAAGACAAAAAGTGGAGAAATGTCATAAATGAATAAATTGAAGGTATTAAGAGTAATGAAACATGAGAACTTGCCACACTCCCTAAATGATAAAATGTCATTGGAGTAAAGTGGGAATGGAGAACAAAGAAAAATGCCAAAGGTGAAATGGAGAGGTACAACTAAAGATTGATTGCAAAAGGCTATAGTCAAAAATCGAGTATTGACAATGATGAGGTATATTTGCCCATGTTGCTTGTTAGGAAACAATTAGATTAAATATTTCTTTAGCTGCTCCAAATGGTTGAAAAATTCACCAAATGCATGTGAAGGCTATTTTTTTTAATTACTTTCTTGATAAGGAAGTGTATGTTGAACAATCCTTGGATTATGTTGGGAAGGCCGAAAACATAAAGTCTTGAAATTGAGAAGGCATTATATGGCTTGAAGCAAGCACCAAGGGTTTGGAATAGTAAACTTGACAAGTACTTTCAACCAAATAATTTTATCGTCTGTCCTTATTAACATACTCTTTATGCAAAGGTGAATGTTAATAGTGATATATTTTATGCTTGCTTGTATGCGGATACCTTGATGTTCACACGAAATTGTTCAAAAATGTTTGAAAAATTAAAGAGAGCAATGATTAAAGAATTTGAGATGAACAAAACTTGGCTCATGCCTTATTATCTTGACTTTGAAGTGAAACAAATGAAGGAAAATATTTTCATTTCTCAAGATGGTTGTGTTAAAAAAAATTTGACAGCCCAAAATGCGACCCATAGAACAAAAAAAGCATAAAGCAGAATTTAATAATCAAACAGTGGCACATGAAAGGATTTTTCCATAATAAGAAATAGAAAGAAGAGGAGATGGAACCATGTATAGGAAAAACTAACAGGTATAGATCAAGCTTTGCTAGGAATTTAGGCGTGCTCCACTGGGAAATGAATGCCGCTTTTGTGCAATTATTCCCAAAGGATTTAAATCCCAACTTGCTAACTTAGGGTATAGCCGAACAAAAGTTAGAGATAGGTCAGCAACACCAATAGGAAAGATAACTTAATTGATGAAAAATGATTCTATTATAAACGTTTGACGTAATTATGCAAACATCCTTTGAATTTTAGAAATTACACTAAGACCCTAATCATTCAACGGGTTAATAATTTTAGTGAAAATGAGGTAGCAATCTGTTAGAGGTTTTAAGTGTAACTAAATAGTAGTTAGTTAATTATATGAAAACTAAATAGTGTGCATTTCCACCAGGTGCCTGCTAGTCTCTGTGTATATATTATTATTATTATACTATAAAAAATTCAAATTAGGTGGAAGGTGGCTTGAGAAACCTTCTGTCCTATTTTCTTTTTTTTTTCTTAGAATTTTTAATTATTTAATTTTCTCATATAACTACCTCTCTAACCATCATGATTGGATAACCATGCATTGCACGGGGCAGCTGCAAGTTTAGGGGGTAGAATTATTTTTTAATATTATTTTGGGGTAATATTATGTCAAAATTTTAATCTTATTAGGTTAATGTGGAAATCTATATATATAAAATAAACAAATTAGGGAGGAGAGGCCTTGGGAAGCCTTCCCTCCCTATTTCCTAAATTCTTAGAATTTTGAATTTTTTAAGTCTCCATCCTCCAATCACATTCTATCAAATGTCTCCAATAACTACCATAAATAACTAATCATAAACTCCGTTTAACCATCATTTATTTAAAATTTTGTAATCATCAAATTTTATAATCCAATAATTTCCATAATATTTTTGTTAAATTATAAAAAAATGGGTGAGAGAGAGTTAATTGTGAAGAAGAGAATTATGGGAGAAAGAGATGACTTCTATATCGCACAAGGTCAAACGCTAGTAGGGGCGTTCACCCTACCCTACGGGTAGGAAATATACTCTTCCGTCTTCCTATCCGATACTTTGCGAAAGAGTTTTTTTTGGCCTACCCTACCCGACAGGTGTGGTATTCCTACTCGACTTCCTACCCGATTAATCGGGTAGGAAATCGGGTAAACATTTTTGTAACAATTAATTTTTGGATCATTTTAACAATTTAATTAAATAACATGCACCAATTTAACAACACAATAAATCAATTAACATTAAAATCTAAAACAACTACATCAAGAATTATAATAAAACACAAAAAAGTATGAACATCAATTCACCATAATTGTTACACAAATACAATAACAACTAATTTAAGTTTAAACTTTAAATCATATAAAATATATTAAAATCATAAGTGTTCCGCCTGTAGTTAGGGTTTAGGGTTTTTTTAGTATATATATATATTAAAAAATTATTGCGAGTAGGGTAGAATATGAGTACGGAAATGGATGACTATTTCGCATTTCTACCCAAAAATTATCGAAAAACTAAAAACTCTTTCGCATTCTTACCTGATTTTTGCGGCTAACCGTTCAGTAGGGTAGGGTAAAAACTTGCGGCCGATCGAAAATTTGAACACCCCTAAGTCGCTAGTATTTGAATTATTTTTGCAGTTATTATCATTTTTTTTATTGTTCTTCCTAGATGATACAAGTTTCAAAATGTCAAGAGGTCTTAAGTATAATTTAATGTTTTTGTAAATAATTATAGAATGTAAAATCATTGAAGATACTTACCGAAAGCTAGTTTGATTTGAAATTAAGTTTTCTGGGTGGAAAAAATACTCACCATAAAACTCATTAGTTATTAGGCCAGAGAGCAGTCGAACCCCGGAGTCATCCTCAAATGGCTTGGGCTCAATGTCTGCTTTGGTAACTTTGAGTAAATAAAGAAACATCTCCCGATTGCCGGGAACAGCAGCAGCAAGATGGAGGGGTAGCCACATCTGATTGCTCCAAATATTAGGGAGATTGGGGTTCCTGTTCACTAGCAACTTGGCTGCCTCAATATTGCCTGCAATTACAGCACAATGAAGTGCTGTATAGCCAAGGTGGTCAACGAAAGCCAGATCTGTTATTGGCACTCTTTCCACCAGGTTCCTTGCAAAAATGGAGTCTCCTTGGTGATCTAACTGCCACAAAAAGTGTCCTGTCTGAGAATCCTCCAATAATTGAGTTGACTGCTTTGGGATATTGTTCTAATATTTTGCTGGCTTTCTCCCAGTCACCCTCCATTGTGGCTTTGAACAGAGGTTGGTACTTAATTAGATCTTTCCATTCTCCCCTGTTTTGCACCGTCATCAAAAAGCATAACACGAGTTTGGTCAAACATATCTTCAACGGAACACTACCCAAGATTCAAGAACAGCACTGTGTTTTTTTAGTATAATACATTTATTTTTTATTAGAAAAGCATGTGTAATAGTTTTTTATTGTTATATTATATTATTTTATTATTTTTTTACCATCAATGACTACAAATACAACAACCAAGATTTACGATATCGAATCGTCTCATTTTATATTTGTCAACTCTAATTTAAGGATAAAAAATATGGACCCTGCATTGGGTAAATATTACACAAACTCCCTTTGACACTTTATAAATCAGTAATACTAGATTGATCAAATTTTTAGATCAAATTTAGAGTCCAAATGACATGACAGTTGATTTAGTCTTCTTTGACTGGTGTCATATCATTTGAACCCCAATAAAAATTTTAAATAATCAATTGTCATGTCATTTGAACTTTAAATTTGATCCCAAAATTTAGTCGGTGTAGCATTATTCTAAAATAACATAAAGATTCCTGAGATTTGAAATTCATTGCACAAGGCTCCTCTGTCTCCCTTTTGCCAATTTCGCTAACAGAAAGTTAAAAATGATGATTTAATCCCAATTTTTTTTATTATTTTCACAATTACCCTTCTCCAAATTTAGTACCAAAATTTTTTTAAAATTTAATAAAATTAAATAAATTTTGATTTATTACCCAAAAAAATTGATATAATTTAGTAATCCAAAAAATTGATTAAATGAATTTTAATATTAATTTGACAATAATAAAAATTAATTTGATATTAATTCGACAAATTTAAAGATAAATTGGATAAAATTAAATATCAATTTGATAAAATTATATATTAATTTACAATGTAAGGTTCATTTTGTGTTGAATATTATTTGGTGTTGATTAAACCAATACAAAATAAACCTTAAATTATAATTTTTTGTTGTGTATACACTTCAAAATTTATTTTAACCCATAAAATTTAAATACATATTTTTTTTTTGGTAGCACAACGCATTCCCTCTTACTATATCACTTGGTAAACTTTATTTTGGTCAATAACCAATAATACTCAACACAAAATGAACTTTGAATAATAAAATAATATTAAATATTATGAAATTGAAATTTAATTTTGTCAAATTAATATTCAAATTTATCGAATTAATTTTTATTGTTATCAAATTAATATTGAAATTCATTTTATCAATTTTTTTGGTACTAAATTATATCATTTTTTTTGTGGTTATTAAATCAAATTTTGTTTGATTTTATTAAAATTTTAATTTAATTTAATTTTTTTGGTTATTGAATTTGGAGAAGGGCAATTGTGAAAATAATTAAATTTTTTGGGATGAAATTATTATTTTCCATTAGCAATATTGATGGAAGAGAGACGGAGGGGGCCTCCGTGTTATTTGTAAATTGTCAGGGGGTGTGCGTTTAATATTGTCAACATTTAGGGGGTTTCCGTGTTCTTTACACCTAATTCAACACACTAAATTAATCACATACGTTCTGATAATTACTCGACCTAATTATTCTGATATTTTATTCAAGTTAACCCGTATACACAGTAAATTAAAAATCTAATACTAACATCCCATTAACTCTAGTTGATTTGTTTCTTAAGTTGACGTAGTTAATTTAGTGAGTTGAATTAAGACTCGTAAATATTTGACAAAGACAAGAAATGAAACGATTCGATGTTGTAGATGTTGGTTGTTGAATTAATAGTCATTGATTGTAAGAATAATAAAATAGTATAATATAATAACAAAACAAAATAACAAATTTTTTATTAAATAAAAAGTAAATGTATTATACAGAAAGAATAATTTTGTTGGTATTATAACTAAGCAAACCACGGTAAAGAAGTCAAGACTAGTGACGCTGTATATAGGCTAAGTTTTTGGTTTCTTATGTTTAATACAGGGAAGTCACTGAAGCAGCACCGTTTAAGGCGAACAGCAGAGAGTGTTGTTCTTGAGGAGCCGCAGAGGAGCTGCACCCCAACTTCACTCTTTAAAATTAGGATAATGTTACATAACTCAAAAGTTAAAATCTAAATATATATCAACTGTTGGATAAATGTGGGATAACTAGGTTTCATTGAAAAAATTAATAGGACTTACTCATCTAAAGGATGATATGCATTTGAATTGTAACTTTTTAAATTTTATTTTAATTTTGTAGCATTGCTCTTAAAATTAAATGTGTAATGATGTTTTAAAATAATGATTCTTCATATGTCTAAATTTGTTTGGGTAACATAGTGCTATCGGTTTCATTGCTCATTTGATATCTAGAGAATTCTAGAGAAATAAACACATTATGTTGACAAAAAGAGAAAGTTCTTAAACAAAAGACAAGATTTATTTATTGCTTCACTGCAAAAATACAATTACTCAAAAGCAAAAGCAAACTGCTCTATTTAAAGAGCTAAATGCCAAACGGCTATAAAGAAAATATCTAGCCACTAACTCAGCTACTAACTTCTACCTAAGTGCCCAAAGACTAGGACTTGTAACAATATCAATTATTCCACTAATAACAAACTCCAAAGGACTCGGTCAAAACAATAGACTCATTACATGAACAAAGAGGCTTGATTAAATAAACCCACGTGACTCAACATTCCTTCCCTTAAACTGAAAGATTTTCAAACATTCAGTTTAGACAACTTTAGTAACAAAAAATCATTCCTGAAACTGGTCATTCCAAAGTGCATAAATCGAGCAATTTCCGTAGCTTCTGAAATAAAGGCACTTTGAGGGGTTTAGTAAATATATTAGCAACTTGGTCTTCACTTCTGCAGAAGGTAAGATCAATTATTCTATCGTTGACGAGATTTCTCAAGAAGTGATACTTCACATCTATATGTTTACTTCGCCCATGTAAAACAGGATTCTTGGAGAGCTTAATTGCTGAACTACTGTCACAATTAATTGGGGTTGGTCCTTGTTGCTTGAAATAGAGCTCTTTAAGAACTTTTCTCATCCAAATAGCTTGGCAAGCACATGAAGTTGCAGCAATGAACTCAGCTTCGGTTGTTGATAGTGTGACAATTGGTTGTTTCTTCAAAGACCATGAGACAGCTCTTGAACCTATCATAAAGACATAACCTGAAGTGCTCTTTCTATCATCTTGATCTCCAGCATAATCACTATCAGTAAATCCAGTTAGATCTGACTTTTCTCCTTTCTTATAAAACAACCCATAACCAGCAGTCCCTTGCAAGTATCGAAAGATTCTTTTTGCAGCTAAAAGATGTATTTCCCTTGGGCATTCCATGTACCTGCTAATAAGACTTATAGCATGCATTATGTCAGGTCTCGTAGCTGTTAAATACATCAAACTCCCTACAATTTGCTTGTAGAGAGTGCTATCAATCTTCCTTCCTTCAGGATCTCGAACAAGCTTCAAACCAACTTCAGTAGGTGTCCTAACAGAGTTGCAATTTTTCATTTGAAACCTGTCCAAAATGTCTTGCACATACTTCCTTTGAGAAATAAATATTCCAGTTGCAGATTGCACCACTTCAATGCCCAAAAAACAATGCATCATTTCAAGGTCAGACATATCAAATTCAACCATCATAGATTTTTTAAATTTGTCAAACATGACCCTATCATTTTTAGTGAAAATAAGATCATCAACATATAAGCAAACAATGAACAATTTTCCTCCATCTCCAATCTTTGTAAAAAGTGTATGTTCATATGGACATTTCTTAAATCCCTCTTTAGAAAAATAAGCATCTATACAGCTATACCAAGCACGTGGAGCTTGTTTTAGCCCGTACAATGCTTTATTGAGTTTATAAACCTTATTTTCACTTCCAAGCTTCACATAACCAGGAGGTTGATCAATAAATACCTGTTCTTCCAATTCACCATGTAAAAATGCTGATTTCACAACCAATTGGAAAATAGGCCATGAGTTTTGTGCTGCCAATGCAATCACTAGTCTGATTGTGTCATGTCTTGCAACTGGAGCAAAAACTTCTTTGTAGTCGATGCCGAACTCTTGCTTATTGCCCTTAGCGACTAAGCGTGCCTTTTACTTGTCAATTTCTCCATTCTCTTTCAGTTTTGTCTTGTATACCCACTTCACATCAATGCTCTTTTGCCCCTTTTGGAAGCTTCGTCAACTCCCAAGTGTTGTTTCTTTCAATGGCTACTATTATGCATCCATAGCCTTCCGCCACTTTGACTCCTTGACAGCATCTTTGAAAGCTATAGGATCACAATCTGAAAAAAGAGCAAAGTATGTAAGTGGATCCTCAGATTGGTCAATTCTGGGTACCTCAAAATCTGTCATCCATCCGGGCCTTTTTTGAACACGGCGTAGACGTGATTTAGCTGCTGCATCAGTAGAATTTGCTACTGTTGGTGAAGTTTCAGCAGCTGTTGGGGTTGGTGAATTTTTGGGAACATTAGCTACTGGAATTTGTTGTTGTAGAGGCTGCTATTGCTGCCTTTCTTCTTCATATTCTCCATCAAAAAGGACTGGAAGTGTTTGTTGCTTGACATTGTTTTCTTTCCACGTCTAGAATCTTTCTTCATCAAAAATTACATCACGACTAATGACAATTTTCTTGGTGATAAGATTGTACAATTTGTACGCTTTTGACTGCTCACTAACACCAAGAAAAATGCATTTTTCTCCTTTGTCATCTAGCTTTCTTCTCTTTTGATCTGGAATATGGGCATATGCTATACAACCGAAAATTTTGAAATACTCGACATTTGGTTTACGTCCACTCCAAGCTTCTTGAGGCGTCACATTTTGAACTGCAAGGGTGGAATTTCTGTTTAGTACATGAATACCCCAATTGACAGCTTCTGGCCAAAAACTTCTTGGAATCTCGCTCCCTGCCAAGATTGATCACACCATGTTCATTATTGTACAATTCTTCCTTTCTGCAATGCCATTCTGCTG